ACAAGAAAGAGAACTCAGAAAATACAATTAGGAGGTCATTGGTGATCCTGGAGAATAACCTTCAATGAACAAATGAACTTTGAAGCCAGAGTTCAAAGACACCAGAAATGACTAGGTGCTAAAGAAAGGCCATGGGTAAAAGCCCTTTTTACTAGGCATGAATGGTAGACAGAGGAGGGATCAATGTCTAGTATAGTTTTTTTTTTAAGATTTTATTTTTAAGTCATCTCCACACCCAACACAGGGCTCGAAGTCACAACCCAGAAATTAAGAATCATATGCTCTAAAGATAGCCAGCCAGCTACCCCTGGCATAGATGTTTTCAATAATGTGATTGCGTAATACATAAGAGTTCATTAGGAACAACCACTCTCCTAACATTGTCGTAATAGGCTTGAATCAATTAGGAATTATAATTGGAGCTGAATATAATTGATTATAATTGTGAACTATTCAAATTTAATTTATCTAAAGGCATAACATAAAACAAGGATCCAATAGACTGTTAACTAAAAATTGTTGCAAATAATTTTCTATGTATACATAATTCATGTTTGTTGTCAAGTTCAAAATGCAGCTGATAAGCACTGAGCCTTCTCATTTCACAATGTTATCAATAAAAAATTAATAAGGCCAACGTTCGTGTAGATTTCTGCTGATGTGGCACTTTGCTGAAAACACTCAGGGATCAGGACTCCGGAGGAAATCAAAGGTGCAAAAGATAAAAAAAGTCCTATTAAAATGCTGTCACTGTTGCGGACTCAAAGGGTTTAACTGAAATGTTCCCATTTTCAATGGTGTGCACTACTACTTTAATGCATTGGAATGAAAGAAGTGCTGATCCCAAAACTTTATTTCACCTTTCAAATTTTCAAGAATGAGAAATAAGGCCCCTCAGACCATTAAGTCCTTTGGCCACTTTAGTGGAACAAAATACCTGTAGGTCTTTTATTCCACTTTTTATTAAAAAGCAATAACTTTTCATTAGTACCACTGTTAGCTTCCAGATCCAAAACACGGGTTCTTTTTAGAAAGACAAGTTGTAAACGTTACTAAAAGAGCTGTTGTATCTAAATGCAAGTAGCATGTAGCTATTAATCTAATATTAAGAAGGAAGGAGAAGGGGCGCCTGGGTGGCTCAGTGAGTTAAAGCCTCTGCCTTTGGCTCAGGTCATGATCCCAGCGTCCTGGGATCGAGCCCCGCATCGGGCTCTCTGCTTGGCAGGGAGCCTGCTTCCTCCTCTCTCTCTCTCTGCCTGCCTCTCAGCCTACTTGTGATCTCTGTCTGTCAAATAAATAAATAAATAAAATCTTAAAAAAAAAAAAAAGAAGGAAGGAGAATGTTCTAAAGTCTTTGTCCTCAACAAAGTGGAAAAATTAAGGACAATACATGAATACAGAGAGCATTAGGATGTTATCTTCCTACTTCCTACTAATATCCCATCCTACTTTGGGGGTATTAAGTCATCCTTTATTTTGGGCTAATAGTAAATGATAGTGGTGGTGGTTGGTTTTTTGAGGTCCTTTCTTGTCAAAACTTAAAAGTGGCAAATCTATGCTGTTTATCAGAATCTTCTTTTAAATTTTAATAGCCTATGAAGTCCTAAGCCTAGGAACCATTGTTTTGGAGAGACTGGAAGATTGTTCCTTCTGATTTGAAGAAATACATAATAGTAGCATTTCCTGTTGGAAGCGGTATAAAGCAATATAGAAAAGTAATAAAGAGTGTGGATTCTGAAGCCAGACTTACTTGGGTTCAGAAAATGTCTCTGCCTTATCCATGTGACCTTGGAAAAGTTATTTAATCTTCCGGGTCCTCAGATTCCTGTCTATAAACTAAAGATAATGATAACTCCTGCTTCATAGGGTTTTTGGAATAATTAAGTTAATCCGTGGCAAGTATTTAAAATAACACATTGTAGTCTCTCAATAAATGCCAGCTATTGTTGTGGTAGTGATAGTTAAAATTGTAGTGGTGTTTTTATTTAAAGGCACCTTAGAGGGGCGCCTGGGTGGCTCAGTGGGTTAAAGCCTCTGCCTTTGGCTCAGGTCATGATCCCAGGGTCCTGGGATCGAGCCCCGCATCGGGCTCTCTGCTCAGCAGGGAGCCTGCTTCCTCCTCTCTCTCTGCCTGCTTCTCTGTGATCTCTGCCTGTCAAATAAATAAAATCTTTAAAAAAAAAAAAAATAAAGGCACCTTAGATGACTAAGGTCCTTTTTGCTTATGTATAAAGAGAGAAATTGAAGCAAGACATACATTCTAGTTAATTAAAATGCTAGAAGACTAGCTGATACTTATTGAGTACTTACCATGCAGTAAGACAGTACAGAATTCAAACTCAGATTATCTGGTTTCAAAGCTCATATGTAAAATCACTGCACCATATTACCACCAAAATGAAGGGAGTCATATGAAAGCTTTGCCTTTGAATGATATTAATAGCCTAAACAGATGTGGAATCAAACGGTGGCTGAGGGGGAAAAATCTATAGGACAGAAAACAAACTGAAAGGGTACTTAATAAATTTCTATGGTGTGCCAAAGCCATGGACAAGGTACGTCAACAATTTGATTCAAAAATAAGATTCAGTGGCACTAGAAAAAGTATATTAACTTAAATCTAGAGAAAAGTGCTTATGACTAACTTTTTATATAATTTATTTAAAATATAGTGTGTGGTAAAATAGTTTAAGATGGAGGGTTTTTTTTTTCAGTTAAAAACAATAATAAATAGAGTAGTCTAGTAATGGGGAGCTCAGTTTCTAGAAGCAGATGTCTAGGTTTAAACCCCTGTTCCTCCTCCTAAAAGCTAATGACCTTGTAGGTGAGGAAAAAAACTTTTCTTCTACCCTCTTAGCTTCTGTCACTGGAGTCTTGCAAATTAAACTGACAAAAGACAGATTAATGGGAGGAAAAGATCAGTTTATTTACATGTGCAACATGCACACACATGAGAGACTCCAGTGATGAGTAACTCAAAGAGTTATTAGGATTTGAGGTTTATATACCATCTTAATAGGTGAGAGGGAGGAGGAGCAAAGCACTTAGAGGAAAACAAATGACTTTTTGGAAAGATAAATGGATTTTCAGGAGAACAAACAGGAGATAAGAGAGTTTGTGAAAATGGTTTTCTATCTTGGTGCAAGTGGTCTTTTTGTCTCCTTTAGGACCATAAAACTTCCCTAAATAAAGGACTTAAGGTAGGTTTTATTCTCATTCTTTTTCATTCTCATTTTCATTCTATTTCATCCTTATCCTTGCTTCTGGGAGTAGATCTGCCCTCAAGAAGAATTTATGGTAGTATTATTTCCCAGAAGTGGTTTCTTTTAGTCAGGTAAGGGAAGTCTAAAAGGCCTTTTCTTCTGCAGCTGTTGAATCTCAAATACCTTTAGCACAAAGTGGCATATTTGGGGGTGGCATATTCTGTACCCTTAACCTTGAACAAATTACTTAATCTCACTAAAATTCACTTTCCTTATCTATAAAATGGGCATAATAATAGCACCCAGTTAATAGAGTTGTTGTGAGGATTAAATAAGATATGGAAAGCTCCTAGCTCAGCACCTGGAATACAATAACAACTTGATGAAATTAGTTATTATTTGCTACACTTCAACTAGAAATTTACTGGTTTGAATCAGTGATTCTCAACCTTGGTTGCACAACAGACTCCCTGGTGGGATTCACGAAATACCCCCTCGCCCCACAACCAAAGTTTCTTTTTCAGTAAGTCTTGGGCCTGGGCACCTACTTTAAAAAAAAAAAAAAGACCCCCAGATAACTTTAATGTTCAGCCCAAATAATGAGGTTTAGATCAAGAGTGAACAAACTGGGGCACCTGGGTGGCTCAGTGGTTAAAGCCTCTGCCTTTGGCTCAGGTCATGATCCCAAGGTCCCGGGATCAAGCCTCGCATTGGGCTCTCTGCTCGGCAGGGAGCCTGCCTCTTCCTCCTCTCTCTCTCTGCCTGCCTCTCTGCCTACTTGTGCTCTGTCGAATAAATGAAAATCTTTAAAACAAAACAAAACAAAACAAGAGTTTACTAGGGCGCCTGGGTGGCTCAGTTGGTTAAGTGTCTGCCTTCGGCTCAGGTCATGATCCCAGGGTCCTGGGACTCAGTCCCACAACCGCCTCCCTGCTCTGCGGAGAGCATGCTTCTCCCTCTCCCTGCCACTGTGCCTACCTGTGCTCGCTCTCTCCGTCAAATAAATAAATAAAATCTTAAAAAAACAAAAAAACAAAAAAAACCCCGAGTTTCCTAAATATCTTAGGGTGGGTCCAGCAGGTTGGATGTCTGGCTTCTCAAGACCTGGACCAGCACCTTTTGAGAACTGCAAGGAAGTGAGAAGGACAAAGAACATAACTCAGAACAAGAAATAGCTTCTTATTCGTACTAGCGCTACCCGTCCAGGATCCTGCTCCCTTGCAGTTCTGTAACCTACACTGTGACTTTTTTTTTCTCTCAACACAAAGGAATGACAATTTTCTTTTCTCATCGATCCTTCCAGAATTTTGTTTGGAGGATGGTGGTCCATCGAAAAACTTCTAAGAATCCCTCCCTCCATTTTGAGAACTCAGAACTTTATGGCTTTTGTATAAGAAATAAGAGTGAGGGCTCTTTATACAGACTCATGTTGGAATAGCAAGCACCAAGGCGACAACGTACGGACCTTTGGGTGCTGAAGCGAACCCGGTGTGTGGACAGAGGCAGTAGCTGAAAAATCCTGGGGACCAGGGTGTAAACTCAGTTTTAGTCAGCACGGGCGTGGGATCCAGGTCTGAGACACCAATCACCTCACAAGACGTGCGGCGAAATCCCACACTGCCCAGAAGAACCGCAATCCACACACAGGTCGATTCCCTACCGAACCCCGGGGCAGGTAATCCGTAAGCGCGGGATGATGACGTACTCCGCAGGCCAGGTGGTGATTGGTTTCCGAATGGGGCGCGGACTGCCAACGCTACACGGGGCCCGGGCCTAAGTCCTCGCGAGAGCCGCGGACTCCGGTGCGGGATGGCCGCTGAGCCGGGCGGAGCTGGCGCGCGGCTCCCGGAGCCGGCTCTCCGGCCCAAAACATGGCCCGGGGGCCCGGCCTGCTAGGCCGGCCTCGCCCCGACACGGTCGCCATGCCCAAGAGAGGGAAGCGACTCAAGTTCCGGGCCCACGACGCCTGCTCTGGACGAGGTGGGTGAGGGGGCGGGGGCGTTGAAAGGCTGGGTGCTGGCGGCCGGGAGGGGGCTGGACAGCGCCGAGGCAAGCGCTCGCTTGCCTGTAACGGGAGGGCTCTGGGGCCGGGGACCTGCAGGAGAAGGAGGTCTTGGCGGAGAGGACGCTGACGGAGCGAAGGCCTCCTCCTTTGAGGGTTGTTGCTGTATTTCAGTGACCGTGGCGGATTATGCCAACTCGGATCCGGCGGTCGTGAGGTCTGGACGGGTCAAGAAAGCCGTCGCCAATGCTGTGCAGCAGGAAGGTAGGCTGCCGACGAGTCTTTCGGACTCGGGCCGGGAAGGCAGAACTAGGTGTTTTATTTCCTGGAACTCCGCCTCAGTGTTTTTCTTGCAAAATCCTCTGGGCATCCTCCCGTGAACGTGTTTGCGGTCTTCAGTGGCCCGTCATGTATTCGGAGGAGGGGAACGGGAGGATTAGCCAAGAGCAGTAGCAGGTTCTATAGCAGAAATACTTTATTTCTGTCTTTGCATCCAAAAAAAAAAAAAAAAAAGAAAAGAAAAGAAAGAAAGAAAGAAAGAAAAACCTTTGCATTCTCTTCTGTAGTTTCAACTGCTTTCTTTTGGGTTATTCATCTTTTTCCTGTGATTCATTCACATATATTCTCCACGTCTTCTGCAGTTTGCTTTCTTTGTGAAATAACCCTGAAGTATGCCTTTCCTTTTCTCAACGTTTCTCTTAAGTTTCAAGCCTTTTACTCACAGATCCCTGAGACTTGTGCTTTTATAACATCTAGTTTCCAGCTTAGGAACAGGGTCAGATTGGCTTCATTTTCTCTCAAACATTGCTCCTCAGAACTTACACAAATGAGAATAGCGTTCACTTTTTGTTTTTATCCTGCAGGGCTTATAGTGGGAGAATAATGCACTCCCTTTTTCTTCAGGTCTGAAGTTGACACTTTTAAGGAGTCAATCTCTGCAACTTTGGGGTCAGTTTGTTTATTGCTTTCCAGTTTTTAGTATTTAAATGCTAAAATTTCTTTCTTTTTAGTTCTCAACCTTTCTACAGCAGACTCACTCACACTATTGCTTCCCCCCACTCTTTTTCCTTGTCCTCATCCTGTCTTAAGTCATTGTATTTCTGGATGGGACTCTGCCATCTCATTCTCCCCTTATTTTCTTCTAGTAAAATCTCTTTGTGGCTTGGAAGCCTCCCAGGTTCCTGCAGTGGAAGCTCTTTCTGGGGTTGGTGAGCCCTGTGACATCATTGACAGCAGTGATGAGATGGATGCCCAGGAGGAGAGCATCCGTGAGAGAACCGTCTCCAGAAAAAAGAAAAGCAAGAGGCACAAAGGTATAGGGCTTGTTTGCTTTTGAATGAGTCCTGTCTGTGGTGATAGCTTAAAGCTGTTCACTTCAGTAGCATTAAGAGGTCATACCAGTGGAGAACCAGGGTTTGGATCTTAGTAGTGGGACAGGTTTAATATACCAGGGCTTTCTATTTTGTCTACATTTAAGAAGAAAGGAAGTTGGTCAGAGTCAGATTTCTGGAGCTCTAAACTCGAATATAATAGCCATTCTTTGAGAACATGTCATTATTAGGTGAAAACCCATATGGTAACATGAAAACAAAAAATCTTTACATTTCTGGATTTCTGAACAGGTAAGGAATAAAAAAATGTGAAAAAAAATGTTTTCCCAAGTATGTGGATTGCATATAACTGATTTCATTTCAGCTGGAGTTAGATGTTACTATGGACTTTTAAGTGCTCTGCAATTATTAGTGTCTGCTTTATGTCTAATAGATTCTGTGGGAAATAGAAAAATATGTGATTTTATACCTAAAGGCAATAAAACTCACACAAAGGAAACAAAGAAAAATAAACTAATAGTATATAATATGCCAAACCTTCATGCAGTGGTTTGCTCTAGACTTAATGAATCAGACTTTCTTGGGTTAGTACCCAGAATAGCTATTCTTAAAGCTAATCTGATTCCAGTGATCAGCTAGAGTTAGGGGAAGCTGATATAATAAGTGATACATGTATTTTTGGTCTCAGATCTACCAGAATTTTAACCTGTACTTGAGAGTCAGATAACAGACATTTGTATTTACTGAAATATATTGAAATAATTGATAATTAATGGACTGTCATCACTTTGCAATTATGCCAGCTATTTTCAGTGAAACCATTGTTTTCCAGAAGGCCAAAATTAATACTGACATTCCTCACACTTCTTTGTTTTTTAATTTCCTGCTTGAAATCCCTACTCATCATCACCATGCTATTAGAGACTTATCTCGCTCTGTTTTGTTTTTGGGCACACTCCATAGAACAGTTTCCAGACTTTTAAAACATCTTTAATGACATAAAATTCATTTTTTTAAAGTGTACAATTCAGTGGTTTTAGTGTGTTCACATGGTTGTGCAGCTGTCAACGTGATTTGAGTTTAGAACATTCCTGTTACTCTAGACAAGTATATAATTATATAATTAGCATTATTCCTTATTCTCTCTCAACCCTCCCACTCCCCCTCACTCACCCCCCTGACCACTAATTTACTTTCTGTCTCTATAGATTTGCCTCTTCTGGATATTTCATATAAATAGAATCACATAATATGTGGCCTTTTTTGTCTAGCTTTTTTCACTTAGCGTGTTTTCAGGTTCATTCATTTTGTAGGATATCTCAGTCCTTCAGTGTTTTTTTCAGTTGGCTATTTTGAATAATGCTGCTTTGAACACTCTTGGACAAGTTTTTGCATGGATATATATTTTCATTTCTTTTGGGTTGGGGTAAAATTGCTGAATCACATGATAACTCTAGTTTAACTTCTTGAATAATTGTCAGTGTGTATGTGTTTTTAAAGATTTTATTTATTTATTTGAGAGAGCATGAGAGAGCATGAGCCAGTGGGCGGGGCAGAGGGAGAGGGAGCAGCAGACTCCCTGCTGAGCAGGGAGCCCAACATGGGGCTCAATCCCAGGACCCTGCAGTCATGATCTGAGCTAAAGGCAGACATTTAACTAACTGACTAAGTCATCCAGGCACCCTGCTGGTTTGTTTTTTGAGGTTTCCATTTTACATTCTACCAGCAATGTGCTCAGAGTTAAAGTTTCTTTACATTCTTGCCAACACTTGTTATTGTCTGACTTTTTTTTTTTTTTTTTAAGATTTTATTTATTTATTTGACAGAGATCACAAGCAGGCAGAGAGGCAGGCAGAGAGAGAGGAGGAAGCAGGCTCCCTGCTGAGCAGAGAGCCCGATGTGGGGCTCGAACCCAGGACCCGGGATCATGACCTGAGCTGAAGGCAGCGGCTTAAACCACTGAGCCACCCAGGCGCCCCTATTGTCTGACTTTCTAAGTCATAGCCATTTTAGTGGATATTTTGTGGTATCTCATGGTTTTGAGTTGCATTTCTTTGATGGCTAATGATGAGCATCTTTTCATGTGTGCTTGTTGCTCATTTGTATGTCTTCTTAAGAGAAGAAGAAATGTCTATTCAAATCCTTTGCCCATTTTTTTTTAAAGATTTTATTTATTTGAGGGATGACTGGGTGGCTCAGATGGTTAGGTGTTTGCCTTCAGCTCAGGTTACGATCCTGGGTCCTGGGATTGAGTCCCATGTCGGGCTCCCCACTCAGCGGAGAGTCTGCTTCTTCCTCTGTCTCTGCCTCTCCCCCTTCTTGTGCTCTCTCTCTCTCAAATGAATAAATAAAATCTTTAAAAGAAAAATATTTTACTTATTTGAGAGAGAGATTGGTTATAAGAGAGTACACGCTGGGGGAGGGGAGGGGAAGGAGAAGCCGACTCCTTGCCGATCAGGAAGCCTGACATGGGACTCGATCCCAGGACTCCGAGATCATGACCTCAGCGGAAGGCAGGTGCTTAACCTACTGAGCCACCTAGGTGCCCTCCTTTGCCCATTTAAAACTCGGGTTATCTTTCAATTACTGAATCGTGGGAATTCTTTGTATATTCATGATACTAGTTGCTTATCAGATATATGATTTTTGGCTTACAGATTTTTAACTATAATTCATTTTTTAGTTGTTTGCTCTGCTTTATTCCCATTAGGTTCCTTTATTCTAGTCAGACTGGTTGTTTTTTCCCCTATCTTTTAGCTTCTTTTTAATGAAACAAATACAGTAGAAGAGAGAATTGTACAAGGAATCCCATCTAGCTCTTACCCAGAATTAACACTTACTAACTCATGGCCATTTTTGTTTCAGCCACTATTCCCCAACTCCAACACACCCACTGTATATCATTCTGAGATAGTTTCCAGGTATCCTATTATTATCTCTAAATGTTTTGGTAGTTCCCTGCAAAAGACAGGTACTCTTTAGCAACAACAAAAAAAGTCAATCATGTCTAAAAAAGTTTACGGTAATTTCTTGATAACATCAAAATCCTGTTAAACTTGTCTCTTTATTGCTATCACATGTATTTTGTTTTTCTAAGTATCTGGGCTTCCTGTTAGCTGTTTATTTCAATTGGAATACTCTTGCTCTTAACCTGTACCTATCAAAAAGTTCTTTCTGTCCTTCATGGTTTATCTCTGTGGAGTTTTACTGATTCCATTTCCTATATTTTGAAATTTCTTTCCTTTCTTTTCCTTTTTTTTTAAAAGTATTTTATTTATTTATGTGTCAGAGAGAGAGAGAGAGTGCGTGCACAAGCATGGAGAGCAGTAGGCTCCCGGCTAAGCAGGGAGCCCAGTGTGGGACTCCATCCCAGGACCCTGGGATCATGACCTGAGCCAAAGGCAGACGCTTAACTGACTTAGCCGCCCAGGCATCTCCATTTTGAAATTTCTTAATAATGTTGCTTAAAACACTGACAATTATTCCTCATCAGTAATTATTGAATTATGTCACTAAAGATGGAACATTTTTTAATAGCACTCCGCTATGTTAAAGTCCCGATGGATCTCAGTGGGAGAAATACTGATAGTCATTTACCTTCTCTTTCAGAGAGAGACTTAATGTGGGAGAAGATGGGGCTCAAACATGGTCACTGGAGATTACAGGGAAGATTAGGAACCAGAAAAGAGGATGTCGTTTTAGACTTATGAAAGAACCCAGTGCAATAACCTGACTGCGTCATACTGCTGCTGTTAGCTCGAAAAGTAGAGGCAGCTTTGGGGAGGTAGTGTAGCGTCTTTTTGCCCAGGAAACAGAAAGAAGAAAGCTGGTTTTTGGGTAGTTCTGTGAACTAGGTCTGAATTACAGGTTAGAAGTAGGATTTGCCCAGATGCAAGTGTATTTATGGAGTGTGAGATTTTAACTTGAACCTGAGACACCCAGTGGACCTCAGGGTCAAGAGAATGAACCCTAACAAAGTCTGAAAGAGGAGGAGGTGGGGATACATTGTCATAGGGTATCTATGAGTACTGAACACCTGTGGCTGGAGTCATAGCTCAAACTGGCAATGAAATGAGGAACTAGAAGGAAAGAAACGTCTACAGGCATTTATTGAGTAATGAAAATATACTGTAACATACCGGGTGTTTTACTGAGCTTATACTTTGACATTTCCTCATACCATCTTAAAATCAGTTGTTGTGTTAAATGACTGAACTGAAGAAAGTGTTTGGTGGAAGGGGACCAGGAGGGAAATCGGGGCAGAGTTAATGGTGCAAAGCTGGAATTTAAAGTAGAAACCCTGGGTCTTTTTATCTTAACTAGTGGTGAGGTTATATCTTCTTACTAGTGAAAAGGGCACAGGAATATTTTCCTTATTTCCGTTGAAGGATTGTTAGAATGGAATGATAGTAATGTGTGCAAAATTTTGAAAAACTTTGAAAACTTCAAAATAGTGTGTGAATAATTGTTGAAGAAAGGCCTAAAGAATGAGACCCAGTCACTTGGGCAATAGGAAACAAAAGTTTCCAGCAGCTAGAAGAAGCAGGAAATCATGAGACTGAGAGGCTTTGTTGGACTTATTTAAAACTGTTTTCTTAACTGTGCAAGCCCTGGGAGAATTGAGATGATTGGGGTCCTTAGTATGTATGTAATTGAAGGTCAAATGTTATAATTCTTTTTTTTTTTTTCTGTTTCAGAAGACCTGGACGGGGCTGGAGGAGAAGAGTATCCTATGGATATTTGGCTGTTGCTGGCCTCCTATATCCGTCCTGAGGACATTGTGAATTTTTCCCTGATTTGTAAGAATGCCTGGACTGTCACTTGCACTGCTGCCTTTTGGACCAGGTTGTACCGAAGGTGCGACCACAGAGACTCACTCTGTTATCTGTGTAGCTGATTTCATTGCTGTTTGTGATTTGGAGCTGCTCCCTGGATGGTGACCTCTTTTCATTTTCTTTACTCCATGCCTGGGCATGAGCCTAGTTTTGGACTCCTTGAGCCCTTATCTAATTTAAGTTTGATATTATTAATTCGTCCAGGTAATTGTCTTCCCTATGGCTGTCCCCTTCCCCCATCCAGTATCCACTTTGAGCAAAAAGTCTTGCTTCAAGTCTTAAAAAGCTGTGTTTGACTTGTCTTCAGAAGTTTATCTTAGCTAGAATTTCCAAAAGCTGCAGATGCCTATCTACTTACCTTTCTAACTGGATTAGTTGTTTCTTATTGGGTAGTTATCTTGAAGTATCATAGAGTTTTTGTACTCATGCTGCTGAATGTAATAGTTGTAGTGGTGAGGAGGGAGTGAATAATAGGACTACTCAGACAGCTAGCTTTTGATATTGGGTGCAGAAGTGTAATGAAGATTATAAACTGTCAGTCAGGATGTTGTAGGAAGGGATGTTGAAGTGGAATGGTGTAGAGAACTTGCCGAGACCTGTGGTGGGAGAACCTGGTCGTTCTTCAGTATACATTCATTTTGAGCAACTGAAGTATATTGTACTGGTGTCAGGTCTGAGACTTGTCATTTTTTAGAGTAAAATAGGATTTAAATTTTAACATGGATGGAGGGAAGGATTAAAAGGTGTATGTGAATTGGGTTTTGCATAGCAAAGAAGCAAAAGTAGCTGAGAAACGAAGGAGGTGGTGATATGTGTGTGTGTGTGTGTGTGTGTGTGTGTGTGTGTGTGTGTGTGTGAATGAGAGAACACTGGGGCCAAGCTAAGTATTGGCAATTAGAATAGTGTAATTAAGTTCATACAGAGACCAGGAGTCCTGGGAGACTGAGCTAGAGCAGGGGAGACAGGTCACATATTGGTAGGAGTAATGTGTCATGTTTCAGGCACTACACGCTGGATGCCTCTCTGCCTTTGCGCCTGCGACCAGAGTCAATGGAGAAGCTGCGCTGTCTCCGGGCATGTGTGATCCGATCTCTATACCATATGTACGAGCCGTTTGCTGCTCGAATCTCCAAGAATCCAGCCATTCCAGAAAGTACTCCCAGCACATTAAAGAATTCCAAAGTAAGTGCAAATTATTGTTGGGGCCTAACTAATGATGTGGTGGGCCTGTTAATACAGCTTATCTCTGGCTTCCTTGATGGGGACGGCTAGGGCTGTTGGTCCCAGGCTGCAAGGGGGCTAATGTAAACTTCAGGGTTTCACTTCTCTAAGACATTCCTACTCTGCTGGGCTGGCTTCTCTTCTCTTTACCTTAAAGCTTTCTTGTGCTTTTAGCATATTCTTTATTCTCTTTAATTTATTCTCATGCATTGTACATTGGACCACTTTAGATGATTTTGATGGTCTGGGTTAGGAAGAGCACAACTCACATTGGGGTAGATGTTAACTGTTAATTTTTCAGGGTGCTATAAATCATGGTGCAGAGATACAATATGAACACCTTAGTAATTTTCTTTTTCTAACATGACTTGGTATCTGGGATTCTTCTTTCTTGTTGACCTCTTTAAAAGACTGTGGTATGGACTTCAGCATACACTAAGTGTCCACTATTGCTAAGCTCTGGGCTAGGTCATTTCGGATATTGTAAGGTATTCCCACTCACAGACTTTAACTCTCTTAAAATTCTTCCTGTGTCTTGGGCTGTATCTTATATCTTGGGATTTCCCCAGTAGTTTGTATTCATACATTGTATTCAAGTGTTTGGCGTTCTTTTGATTGTAAATAGGTCTGTTAACCTTTGGCCCTTTCTCCTTTTCTCCATAACAAAATATCCAATGAACCCACCTTTGCCAAGCTAGACCGTACAACAGATACGATTACTTAGGCAAGTTGATGTCTCAGCCTGTTTCTCCTTCAACTAATACCATTGTCTGAATTTTCTCTCTTTTGAGTTAGTGAGTAATTTTTATTACTCTGTTCCTACCCCAAATCTGGTGTTTTATAGCACTTTCTTTGCTCTTCTATTTTGTTTCTATTTTGTTTTTGTGTTCTGGATGTTCTGTAATGATTCTTCTCCCCTAGTTTGGCTCCAGTGTGATAATATTCTACCCGATACATATTGATTGGAAGGGTCCTATTGGTCTCAAGATTATCAGGGTTCCTTCAGAGGTTGCAAACTGAGAGGGTCAGGGCCATGGGCTGAGCTCAGTTTAATATCACACTAGCTGGTGGCTTTAGGGCAGGAGTAGAATGCGGGGCGAGTAGAATTTCACCCAGCAGCTGCTTCTGCTAGTAATACGAGTGGACAGTGTATCATCTCACATTTGCAGTTTCCCTCCCTCAGAAACATTTGATAGTATCAGACCAACTATGATGAAGTGGGGATCATCCCAAAGCTAACCATGCCAGGTATGACTCAGTTGCTGGGAGTAGAGCAGCATTGGGCAAACTCCTCATGCTGGACACATCCTAGCGGCTCCAGTGCACAATGCAAGTGCTACTGCCTAAATCGGAAGTACCTGTGTCTTCATATTCGTGTCACTGTTTATGAATTTTTTTTAAAGTAGATTATAAAAAGCCAAGGTGGTGATAACTAAGGTCGTAATGCAGACAGTAAGCCCAGGCCACCTGGTCGCTGCTTTTGTGCCTTGTTAGAGATCTCTGAAGAGGATATGGGACCTGCAGTGACAGGTGTCCCATGCATGGCCTTGCCACTTGTATAACCACGATCGCATGGCATTCAGGGAGTTGGCAGCATGCCTAAAGGAAGTTGTCCCAGGTTCCTGGACTCCAGCTTTTCGTATTTGATTCTCCCTCTCTCTCTCTTCAATAGCATAGCTTGTATGGGACACTGGAGCCGCTGTGATGGCAGCAGAAGTATTTGCCCCTTAAAGCCAAGCCCATTATTTTTGATGGAACAGCAGGACGTACAGGGCATGTCTGAAGGGCAGGACAGCTGGCACGGCGGACGACCCACCCCTTATCCCCTGGGAGGTACTTAACTTCTTGTGTTAACCCTAGCTGTAGCCTGACTTTCATAGCGGGGCTTACTCTAGACCGAATCCAGTCCAGCTCTGTCATTTTCACACCGGCTCTCTGCTCCCAGAAGGTCCTGAGTGGCTTGCTCCTGTTCCAGGAACGGCCATCTCTGCCTGCCTTATGGCTTTGTTATCATCTTGCCTGGTGGCAGCTGGCTGCCCTTATATTTTCATATAGAGGAGTGGCTTGCTGACTCAGAGAATGTCCCAGTCTCTAGAGACCATGATTCTGTCTTTTTAACGATGAGAACAGTGGGGGTTGCCCTCAATAGCATCGGAGGTTGACTTATGTCGGTCCCTCTTCTCTTTACGGAATAGCCCTGGGACTGTCTCTTTTCATTTTGCACCAGTGTCAAATTGGGGGGGTTCTCTATCTGTGCCAAAGTGAAATCTCAGCATTGGGGCTGTGGCTGGCCTTGGAGCTGTCAGACAGGTTTTTACTGATTATTTTTTATTACCTTATTTTGAGTTTTTCCTTTTCTGTCTTTTATTTATTTATCTTTGGCTTATTTTATTTTTATTTTCTTACAGTGCTTACTTTTCTGGTGCAGAAAGATTGTTGGGAACAGACAGGAACCAATGTGGGAGTTCAACTTTAAGTTCAAAAAACAGGTATGTAGTCATGTTCTCTTTGTTTTTCAGGTAATATGTTATTCTAATAAATTTCATTAGGCATAACATTTCCTCATTAAAATCCAATAGGACACATCGACATTTACAAAAGTGCTGGGAAAAGAAAGGGTAAAAGGAATTGTTCTGTATGAAAGAGACACAGCAGTGTAAAAGCTGAATGAGTGGGGACTGGATCAGGGAACAAAGGGCTATAAAAGACACCTGGGACAATTCAAGAGATTTGAGTATGCTGTAAATGTTAGATGACATAAAATTATTGTTAATTCCTTAGGTGCGATAACGATACTGTGGTTATATATGTGTCTTTATTCTTTATTCATGCTGAATAGGGGTGGAGCGTCAGTGCTCCTTTCAGATGACTTTGCCCTCTTCCACCATTTTCTACATAAAATGAAAGGTGGGAGGAGAGGAAGCAAATTTGGCAAAATATCTAATGGTAGGGGCTATACAGGAATTTATTTACTATTTTATTAACTTTCTGTATAGTTGAAGACTTTCTAAAGGTGGGAAAAAGGGGAAAACTTGTTACAGCAGTGTAGTGAGGTTATTTGCTTATAACTTTTTTGTTTTTCAAAACAAATGTATTTGCAAACAACAAAAATTGATGTGACTTTATACCTGAAGCCGTTTGGGGAAGTTTTGAGGAAAGGGACCACTGTTAGGAGGCTCTTTATAAGAAGACTAGATAGTATTCTACTCTGTTTCTGCCTTTTGCTTGGATGGTACCTGAGATCTTGGCCACAGAGGATCTCCTTTGCTTGTCTTTATTCTTACCCTCACTAGCTCATTTTGTCCTTCTGTCTCCCCTCCTTAGTATCTCACCGAGGAGACCCATTACAGATAGGATTACTTATCCCTCACTTGATGGTTGGCAAGTTAAGTTTGTAATTAAAGTAAATCATATTTTTCCATTGTTTTTTTCATAAACATGGTTTTAGGGAAGAATTTTGGTTTCTAGTCTCTTGCTTTTAATAAGATTCTTCAAATTTGCTGTCCATGAGATGTTGATGGAAAGTCCACCATAGGATCTTTCTGGGAAGGGGCTGCAGGGCAATCTCAGCAGGGTTCAAGCTGAGAGCGGAATTAACTAATTACAGGAAGGTGAATGCTCGGGTTTCCTTTAGTTCTGAGACTTGTGGTTCTTTTATTTCTGGTGCCTAGAACTAGATGGCCACTTCTGCTTCTGCCCTTTTGTGCAGCAGACGTTCTTTGGAGCCTGAAGATTCACGAGGGATCACAGGTTCAAATATTGGGGAGCCTCTGATAGAACTATAAGCTCCCATTTCTTGCCAGATGGCAGAAACTACCATCTAAACGAAGCATATACTCACTACCACATTGCCTATCCAAATATGTATCCTCTTCTTTCCAAGGGCAGGTTTTCCTTGAATTGTATAGAAACCAATATGTGTATAAAGAGAACCGTAGGATTTTCACTGATGATGGAGTCTTAGAGTTATCAGTATTTCCTCTAAGCCGTTTGAGTAATTCTCGGTTCTGTTCAGTCCCCTAGATTAAAGAGCAAGTGTGTGGGAGGGTTGCAGCCTCCCATTCAGTATGAAGATGTTCATACCAACCCAGACCAGGACTGCTGCCTACTACAGGTCACCACGCTCAATTTCATCTTTATTCCAATTGTCATGGGAATGATATTTACCCTGGTAAGTGCAGACAGATTGTCATCCTTAGCTCTTTTGTAGACTCTCACTATAGCTAGGTTTTGAAAGAAATTTGTAAATTTAACCACTGAGGAGAAAATCTTTGAAGAATAGTTTTTAAAGTCTGAGAGCAGACTTGTACATTAGGAATGGAGTTATTATTTTTTTTTAAATTGATGTTTCATTCTTTTTTTTTTTTTTAAGATTTTATTTATTTATTTGACAGAGATCACAAGTAGGCAGAGAGGCAGGCAGAAGAAAGAGGGGGAAGCAGGCACCCCGCTGAGCAGAGAGCTCGATGTGGGGCTCGACCCCAGGACCCTGAGATCATAACCTGAGCCAAAGGCAGAGGCTTAACCCTCTGAGCCATCCAGGCGCCCCCGGAATGGAGTTAATTATATCTGAGAATATTTTATCTGTTTCCTTCTTACAGTAAAGAGAATGTTTTTGCATCTTCTGTGTAGTGGTCATTAATATTTGAGAAACATTATCCTTTCAGGGATAATAGTGAGGCTTATATATGAGACTGTATGTCAGGACCTTGAGGCTTGCTTATGGTGTCATAAGTGGAATACTAAAATGTAGGGTGATCAGCTCTGTCCCTTATGTGATGATGACTATTCACATCTTAGCTAAGAACTAGATTAGTAAATAACAAATATGTCTCTGGTATATTTTCCAGGTTTTTAAAAATTTTAACCGGGTTGAGAACTTGAGAGTGTATTCAGTTTGTTTTCCCTGTCCTTTAGGCTTATTTGAGATAGAGTGAGTGATGGAGAGAATAAGAGCTGGGGTGGGGAGTGCAGAGAGAGAAGGAGAAGCAGACTCCCCACTGAGCAGGGAGCCCCACACAGGGTTTGATCCTGGGACTCCAGGATCATGACCTGAGCTGAAGGCAGATCCTTAACTGACTGAGCCACCCAGGCACCCAGCTTTATTCTTTTTTTAATGGTGAAATAATCAATCCATGCTTCATGGAAAGAATTTAAATAATGTATAAATACATGGAAAAAGTAAAGGTGACCTAGGCTTTTACTGGCCTATAACTATTTATCTTTCGGGAACTGTTCTTTCATGTATCTGTTATTATGTACTTGTATACACCCATTCTGTTAAATAATTTTGTTTAATTGAGATTATATCTTTTATGCTGTTTTGGTTGTTAGGCACCTCACCCCTCCCTCTAGGTTGAGTCACATTAGTAATCTAGTTATATACTCCTATTCCGTGGACTTCATATTCACATAATTCTGTTCAGACCAGCGTATACATAAACAGATTTAGAGAATTTGTGGTGTATTTTACCAAAAATGTGATCAGATGTATGTTTCATGCATCTTGGTTGACTTGCTCAACAATATCTCATCAGAACCCCTTCAAGTCATTTTGTATAGTTCCAACCCACTTTTAAAAAATTGGTTTCAGGGTGCCTGGGTGGCTCAGTGGGTTAAGCCGCTGCCTTCGGCTCAGGTCATGATCTCAGGGTCCTGGGATCGAGTCCCGCATCGGTCTCTCTGCTCAGCCAAGAGCCTGCTTCCTCTCTCTCTCTCTCTCTGTCTGCCTCTCCGCCTACTTGTGATCTCTGTCAAATAAAAAAAAAAAAAAAATTGGTTTCAGTGCTAGTCTATGTGCATGTATCCTAATTTATTCAGCCATTTGAGAGGCTTTCTTTAGCATAGTTTAAATGTGAAGAATTTCATTTCGTGGCCTAGTGTAAATTTTATCTAGACTGTCTTATTTCAGAGTGAGCCATGGGAAAACAAGGTTGTTTAATTTGGGTACTGAATTTGCTTTCTCCTAGTTTACTATCAATGTGAGCACGGACATGCGGCATCATCGTGTGAGACTGGTGTTCCAAGATTCTCCTGTCCATGGTGGTCAGAAACTGCGCAGCGAACAGGGTGTGCAAGTCATCCTGGACCCAGTGCACAGCGTTCGACTCTTTGACTGGTGGCATCCTCAGTATCCGTTCTCCCTGAGAGCATAGTTACTGCTTCCTGTCCCTGAGGGCAGCCCTGAGCTAGGCCAGTCCATTAGTAATCAGATCCCAGTTTGGAAGGGGTGTCTGGATTGTATATCTGGTTAATAATGCACATGCTCTTCCGGTTCCTGTTAGGGGAAGGAGAAGGATTGAATTAAGAGGAAAAACAACTATGATTTATAAACATATTTTAATGTAAAAATTTGCATTTGAAAGGAGAAACTGGGCCCTATTTTCTGTGTTAAATCCCATTTGGTGCTATTGAGTTTGTTGTTCTTTATTCTTTTATCCCAGCAAAAATGGATGATCTTGCTATAGGGAAAAATTAAACTCATCCATCTCCAAACATGGAAGTTTCAGCATTCCCTTGTGATCAGAGAGGAGCCTTTGAGGCCTGAAATTGTTGCTACTGCTGTTTCCCATTAAGCTGCCCCTCAAATTCAAGTGAATATTTTCTCTTCTCCCTTTACCCTTCTCCAGAAATAAAGCAGGTGACAGGGTTTTCAGAATCTTATAAGATTGACTTGTGTATCTTTCTTTAAAAATAATTTCGGATATTTATTGCATAAATATTCTTTTGCCAATTTTGGATTTTAGGTTTTTTTTTTTTTTTTTTGCATGAGGTTTGATAGTGATGGTGATGATGACTTTGTGCCCTTCGTACTATACCAGGAACTTTGTGAAATATCTCTAATTCTCATGATCTTGCAAGGTAGGGATGCTCTTCCCATTCTGTAATTGAGAAAACTACATCAGTGACTTACCCAATGCCATATGGCCAGGTCTTTTTGCTATACCACAGTTAAAAAGTTCAGTTTCATTCCCTGTGGTAGATTGTGGCAAAAGGGATTAGGCAGAGGGTACATAGACAAGAAAGTAAAAGGGTGAATAAAAATTTGATTGTGGTATACCTTATCCCTCATCAGTGTAAAAGGTATATAACATTGATGAGTCTTTGAAATGATACGTTTTTTTTTTTTTAATTTAAAAAAAAATTTTTTTTTTTTTAAGATTTTATTTATTTATTTGACAGACAGAGATCACAGGTAGGCAGAGAGGCAGGCAGAGAGAGGAAGGGAAGCAGGCTCCCTGCTGAGCAGAGAGCCCGATGCGGGGCTCGATCCCAGGACCCTGGGATCATGACCTGAGCCGAAGGCAGAGGCTTTAACCCACTGAGCCACCCAGGCGCCCCTGAAATGATACGTTTCTAAGTAAATTGTAAAACTAACCAAGAAAGGCAGGAAGGATAAGAAGCACAATGATATTTTCATTGAATTGTTAGAAAGGCATTTACGATGCTGAAGGTCATTTAAAAAAAATGCATCCCATGTTAAAACTAGCCTCCTGAACTATAAGCACTTAGTGACCTTCTTATGCTTTGCCAGGGCCTGTGCTGCCCATCATCCTTGTGCCTACAGGCCTTTCATCCCTGCAGAAATGCTAATGTCCTGTTAGAGGGCTTGCTGTAGCTGGTGTACTCTGAGAAGAGGATAGGGGGTAGGATTTTGGTTTTATTTTATTTTTGCTAAGAAGATAACCTTGCTACTTGTCCTCCCTCCTTAGCCCTCCAAGTTAGCCAGTGAGCTGGGTATTAGCTGGATGTTGCCATGAGATGGCCATTAACATAATATTCTTTGAACATGAAAATCTTGTGGGGCAGTTTTTATCACAAACCAAACTGTTAAATTAGTGTTTTTTTTTCCTTAATCATCCTCCCTAACCCCTGTTATTTAAAGAATATTCTTAGGAAGCATCTGCTTAATACAGCTGCTAGCAGTTAAACGTTTACCCTGCACTGAGGGTGGTACTAAAAGCTGTTTACATGGAAAGTGAGCCTGGGTCAGTGAAAATCAGAATTTGCTCAAGTAAATGATAAAAAACAATAAAAGAACCCAAGGACAATAAGCACCTTGGACAATAAGTACCTTTCACAACCAAAAGTTGCTTCTTTGAGGCAGAAGAAGAGAAGCACAGAGTTCTGGTTCCCTGGACTGAAGATGCCTAGAAGTAGAAGGGAATTATTCTGGTGGATCCATGTCCTTCCCCATTCGAGAGTTACCTTTAAAAGGGGAGTGAAATTAATAATTTAATAATTTTTAATTTAATAATTGTGTTCCGACTCATCCTTTAAGTTTTTATATTAAACTTTATGATGATAGGTAAAATATTAGGTGTCACCTCAGCTGTTCTCTTAGCATGATATTGACAGACATTTGGTACAGTGTATTATGGCTTCTGCCTGCCTTCTGCATTGACGGAGTTGCCTTTTATAGGATGATTCATTTTAGTGAAAGGATGTGTGAAGTGTCTCAGATTTCCTTTTGAAGAACCCCAAACCACCTGGAGAAGAATTGGAACTTCTGGACTACTTTTGTAAAAACTGCTTTGTAATTTTCACTTTTAAAAATACATGTCTTGATTTTGCTCTCAGGGTCAAACAAAATAACACAAATTTAGCTTCATTTCTCACCCTTATAATAAATCAGAATTACTCCAAATTTCCTGCCTTCTAACTGAAGATACAAGGAAACTAAGCCAGTTGGTGAATTTATTGGGAGGAAGAAAATAAATGAAAGGTTGTATGTGCCACCGATCTCAACTATGTGCAGTGTTTGTTGTAGAAACTGTTGCATGTGTATTTATAAATATGTACACATTGCACGTATGTAAAAATTCTTTGCGCTTGTAGCAGTGCTTAGTGGGTATTGTAAAGGATTGAGTAGGCACTGTGATGACACTTCACAAACCAGATGGGAAAGATGCAATTAATAGCCACACAGGACAGGGTAAGGAGCAATTCAGGAAAATGGAGAGATTTAACTAAAATTTGTCAGAAATTTGGCATTGAGACTGTCTTCATACTATGTATATATAACATTTCATATTCTAGTAACAGTGTTAGCACAGCCAGGGGCCTAAATTTCACTCAAGTGCACACTATGGCAATGTATCTGGATTTCAAGATTCTCCACTTAAACAGATGCTACCAAGAGAAGAGTAATAAATGGGCGCAAGAGAGCAGGTGTGAAGGGTGACAGACTGTTGGCAAGGAGAACAAGGCCAGGACCGAGGTCAGTTTAGTGAGCAAGTGGTTAGATGAGGAACAAGGGTGGAGGTCAAATGGAGGGACAGGACATGTGCTGCACCTCACTGGCAAGGAGTGGGGGCGCCACTGAGCCCCGACACTTTAGTCGTCCTGGGTAAAATGGTTTTCCGCCACCCCAGCGCGACTCTCCAGGCCAAGTCAAGATGGCGCGCAGTAGCAAAGTGGCTCTCGTCACGTGTAGGGGAGGGGGCGTGGCCTCGAGGGAGCCGACCAGGCCCCGCCCTTGCGGGGTGGGGCCAGAGGCCCTCCGGGAGACAGGGGCGGGGCGCTTCGGCGTTGGCGGAGGCTGCAGCTAGCTACCTCCGCGCCGGCTCCGCTCCCTAGGACGCGTCGGGCTCCCGGGGTAGGGGGCGGCTCCCTTCCGCTTCGCAGCTGAGCAGCCTGTCTTTCGACTACTGCAGGCAGGTGAGCGTCCAGAACATGGGGTGGGGAAAGGATGCCGCTTTCCCCACCTCCGGCTCCCCTCCAGTTTGGGGAGGGGTCTCTGTCTAGCGCGCATTGGAAAACAGCATCGTTTTACTCCGGATGTGTCTTCTGTGGCTGACATAGATGCTGCTCCCTCCGCCGCTCCTTGCTGGCCTTTGCAGTGCCCTGTGCCCTTGGGGGTGAGAATGGGGGGCGATGCCCGGTTTGCGGGAGGGCGTGGAGTTCGCCCTCAGCTCCATCAGCCTCGGAGGAGCGGGGCTGAGTTGGCAAGTCTCCCGGTGGGAGCTGGATGGACTGCGCCCCCATTAACCATCCTGGAGAGTCAGAGAAAAAGCACCTCTTAGCTCCTGGGCCAGCTCCGCTCATTTGGACACAGGAGGTGCTGAGGTCTTCGCGCTTACCGGGGGTCTTAATCCTTCCCGCGTTGCTGCTAACGCCCCTTATTAATGTCGCTAGCTCTCTGTTCCTTGAACTGTCAGTCTCAGGTTCTGCCAGAAATGCCCCCGTCTCCGCAGTGCTAGGGCGATGGGATGGAAGGAGCGGCCAAACTGAGGTCTGGCGGGGGCGGGGGTGAGAGTGGGCGCAACCGGAAAAGAGGGCTGGAATAGATTCCTGAACTGGGAGGGTGGGAGTAGGGAGTTGACTTTGGACCACGCAGTAGGGGTGTTTTGGTGTTTTCCGGTATAGATCCTGCAGCGTTTGATGGTGGGTGGGAAGAGAGAGGTCGGTTTGGAGGACTTGGAAATGTGTGGGTGGTTTTCTTTGAGGAGGAGGAGGAGGGATCCAGGACAAGGTGCCATTAGGTGCTGATGTCACCTTTGAGGAGAGGTATGCTGGTAGTATCCATTAGAGGGATATGGGAGTTGGGGCTGCTGTTCTGCTGTTCTGTGGTGAGCAAGTGGTTAAGGAGGAGGCTCTGCTTAGCACGGAGATCCCCTCCTGGTGGGAGCTTACAGGGCCCCTCCCGTAGCTAGGTTTCAGGGACTTCCCTCCGTCTTTCCGGAGGTGTTGGAACTGATACCTAGTAGTTTGTTCAATACTCAACAAATATTTATTGGGCACCTACTCTATGCCAAGCACCATGCTATGTGCTGGGTCTTCTGAAGGCAATTTAGGTCCATGGAGCAGCCGAAAGATACACACAGTAGGCACTCTCTTAGCCCCTACTCCCCATTTTGTTACATGGGCTATTACATTATAAAAAAGCAGAGCCCTGTCCACATGCTTTCAAACAGCTGTCCGAACTGGATTCCAACCCATCCACCCCCTACCACTGTTAACTGGCCAGGTAGTCCCGAGAGAAGCTGCCTTAGCAAAAGGAACAGTTTGAATGATTTCGCTTGGCTATTTTCTAAGACTCTGACTCCTGAGAAGGCTGCCTGAAAGAAACAGCATCTCAAAATAATGAGATGGTGAGTAGCACAGTGGTTATTGGGGGCTAAGAATGCAGCGAACAGCTGGCACAGTGGGAGATGCCGGCTCTGGAAGATAGAAGAGAGTGGGGGAAGGGGGTGTGAAGTGAAACCTTGTCCGGAGGAGCTGGGTGTATGCTGGTGAGCAGGTCATGATGTCAGAACTGCGGCGTATATGAGGTCTGGTCTTTGGGTGGTAAGGAGGGATTGGAGGAGGGGCAGGGCAGGCAGCTGGGCTCCTGGGTCTCTTTTTTTTTTTTTTAAGATTTTATTTATTTATTTGACAGAGAGAGATCACAAGTAGATGGAGAGGCAGGCAGAGAGACAGAGAGAGAGGAGGAAGCAGGCTCCCTGCTGAGCAGAGAGCCCGATGCGGGACTTGATCCCAGGACCCTGAGATCAGGACCCGAGCCGAAGGCAGTGGCTTAACCCACTGAGCCACCCAGGTGCCCTCCTGGGTCTCTTTTCTGAGTTGATGGCTGGAATCTCAGAGTTGGCAGGTGTCATCAGGGACTTTAGTGGGTCCTTTCAGAGCCTCTGAGAATAATAGGGTGAGAGCTGGGGGGAGGAGGAGG